CTGCAGGCACGCAGGAGAAAGACATCCCATTTGCATAGGGCAAGCCCTTGGCAAACGAACTAGTGAGCAAACTGCCTGGTCAACAATTAACCACCCACCTATCCACCAAAAAGTCAGTTTAACCGTTTCCACAGCAACCTGCCACCACAACTGGGTGTGTAAACTTTTGAAAGGAAGGATTAGTGTTGAAATGGGTGAGGAGGAAAAAAAAGAAAGAGCAGGAGGGAGGAGAGGAAACACAATGAGAATTGGAGTCAAATAGGGTTCATCTGCAAAAGGGGAGGGCAGGCATGTCAGTGGTATGTGTGAAGCGCTTCCTCTTCTCTTGTCTGTTTCGTTCAGGTGTAAATGAGCTTGGATCGGCTTGTTGCCATTAGGCTGGCCGGGCCACTGTGGTGTCGGGAGGTTTGTTGTGGTTGAGAGAAGAAGATGGGCTTTCTAAGAATAGAAGGAGGAGGACGGCAAGATCCAGCAACCCCATTGTTTTTGTACTTGGAGACGTTAGCAAGTCAGAGGTATAAAAAAAACCAATAAAAACCACGTCTCAGTAGGGTAGGCTTTCAAGTGTCTCTGGGACTGAGGGCCAAAGGACTAAAGTGTTCAGTGAAATGCAGGAAGGATGAGAAAACTGCATTAATTCAGGGTATTAAGGGACAATACAGACAGAGAAAAGCATAAGGATACTTATCTCTTCTCGCTTTCCAGGGAGTAAGAGATCGAGAATAAAAGAGTAAGCAGGAGGGAGAAGGAGGGAAAAAAAGAACGTGAATAGACAAGACAAGTGAAAGACCAAGAACCCAGAAAGGGAACAAAGAGTGAATCCTCTTTGTGTTGCTATAAGAGGATGCACAAAAAGGAAGATCTGGGAATAGTGGAGCACTGCTATCGTCAAGCATACATATTGATGCTTCCATTCTTCTTTAGATATTACAACATGTCCTATACCTGATATCATGCACCCATCTCTCATATGCATTCTGTCAGAACAGAAGCTCTGCGACCACTTGTGGCTTCCAACCTTAACTGATAACATACACATTGTACTAGGCAGACTTGAATGTAGGAGTAAAGAGAATATCATCACATTTGATGGCTACAATGAAGCAAAAGGAAAAGAACAAAAACAAGTGATTGATGCGAGTTCAGGCTCATAAGTTAGCACCATTAGCCGTTTCCATTAGTAAACTGTTTAGCCATCGTCGAGCTTCATTAGTCTGGCAAAAAACAGAGAGATCATTCTATTTGTGCAATTCTTTGTCTTCAAGTGTCTTATTAAAATCGCTATCAATGCACTATGTGACACAGGAATAATAAAAAAAAAATTTTTATGGAACTTAAAATACCACCATTGCTTTATTCTGTGAATAATGGAAATGGTGTGTCACTTTTTGCGCTTTGTACCAACATGCAGTTGAGCTGATGTGATCACAGGTGACATTCATATATTTGTCAGGTCAAACCGATCGGCCAACCAATCTTGATTCATTTTCCACATCAGATTTTGCATGGTGTTTGTATTGTTACCAATATCTGGCACCAGTCTACAGTACATGTGTAAAAACAACAACCTATAAATGGTAAAGATATTAATGCATAATAATACAAATTGGGCCAAGTGGCTATGTTGTCACGTATTGTGAACTCATGGGTCAATGTTGTGAGTGTTTGATAATAACCCAAGATTTTAGGGTGATTTAAACATTTTAAAATGTCAGGACCTGTGAACCAGATCACATACAAAACAATGAACTTGGCAGCATAAGCTTGAACCAAGTGTGAACCTATCGTGACGTCACCCATTGGTTTGTGGTTTTGTGGCTTGAAGCCTCTAGATTGACTGCACTGTGACAGTTTGTTGGAGCCAACAGAGGTCACTTACTGCGAGTTGAGCTGCTCTCATTAGATCCACAGTTTTGACTCGTCTGTAGCAGGAAACAATGGCGGCTCGACTGGTTACACATAATCTCGTACTGCAGCAACAACACAGTAAAATAATTTGAATTCATATTTGATCAGCACTGTGTAGTTTAACTGTTTGAGCTTGGTGCGTTGAGCCCTAAAGCATGCCCTGCTGGAGCTGCCCCCTGCTGGCCTTTACACAGAGAGCAGGTTAAAGACCCAGAAGCTCTGTCCATTAGATAGACTGTCAATGGCGAACATATCTATAAAGTTTGGTCAAGGTAAATTAATTGTATTAACCCTGTTAAGCAGAAGTATGGGTTGCTACATGAAGTGTATGAAAGCTGCCATTAGCAGCCTTGGTCCAGCTGGGCATAATGCAGTAGTACTCCCAGAGACCTGTAAACACAATTTTATATGCAAATATGTTGCCCTTTAAGCAAACAACTCCCGACACATTTAGCACTAAATGGGCAACATGGCATCCCACTGGAGCCAAGTAAAGCCAATATTCAGTGACATTGTAACATCAGTTTAACTCTTGAGGGACATGTGTGGCATTCTTTCTACCGTTTTAGATTTGCTACCTGCCCAGTGCAAAATCAGGGAGAACTGAAGGAAATGGGTTACTGCTGATAGTAACATACAGAAGCTCCCTATAGTTTTACATGAATCAGCACTGGGTCCACACAACCAAAACAATGAGCTAGATGCATCTAAATGCAGCACAGAACTGATGAGGTTATTGATTGTCAGTGCTATCAGCAGTACTAGCTATCCTTAAAGCTATCCTCAATCCTCTTACAGGCCAAGCCATTTCATTCAGTGTTAATACAAAACATATGGCTTAAGGCAATTATCGTGACACTTAACTGCAGATGCTTCAAGAACATATTTACTCCATGCAGACCTTACACGAAAACCCAAACAGCGAGTACATTTCATAACCCACAGGCGACCATCTTCCAAATGCAAGACAGATTTTGTACCGTTCCATGTTTTATGAAGCAGGAAGATGGGCCACTCTACGTCATGTGCATTTCAGCTACTTAACACATAAAAACACATCTAAGCAGACATTTCCCACTATGCGAGGCCAGACGCTGAGCTCAGAGACACACTGGGACATCCTCCAGAATTCCTCCTCTACTGGCTGCAGTCTGTCAACACACACACATACGCACGACTCACAGCCACGGACATGGTGTCTGTGCCTCACTGATGGCAACGCCCCCAGCCCGCTTTGGGTCTTTGTGCAACATGCAGGCTAAAGCGGGACGGAGGACTGAGGGCTATTACGCAAGCTGCGAGGGCAGACTTGAGAGAGATGACTCTACTAGTTGGAACGATGACATTTAACAGAAAAGAGCAGTAGGGCAGAGAGAAACATTGAGAAGGACAAGCTGACACAAACACACACACACCCTCTGATCTTTATGGCAACTTCAGGACAGTGGTGAAACAGATCTTTTTATCACACCAAAGGGTTGGATACGGTTTTCTGATTTTGCTCTCAGTGTGTGAAAGTTTGAGGACTTCAGAGAATGCTAAAAAGCGATAGAGGGAAGCAGACTAGAAATAGTACACAGAGAGCATGTTTATGCCGCTTCCTATTGGTAAACAAAGCAGCAGTCCCTCTCATTGTGGGCTTTTTATAGATCAGTGCAGACAGAAATGTGCACTGCATAACCATCCTTCATATTAAAAAAAAAAAGGAGAGAAATCTGCAAGTAAGGCCTTCCCAGTCTTGCCTAAAACCTTCAATCCTGTACACTTCTAGAGAGCCAAGGCCAGGTGGAAGTATTGGTAAATTATCGGTAAATTATCCACACCAGTGCTGCTTGGGGATGTAGTTTTAAAAAGAAAGTTAAAACTCCCTTATATTTCACATATTACACAGTAAAAAGACCATTTCAGCCACAGTAAAAACTGTGTGACTGACTCCAGACGGTTAGGCAGCTGAGTCATTTGACAGGCTTCACTTAACTCCTGATTCAGACTCCTCTCGTTCCGTCCCTCTTCGAAACAACTGCACTCTGTCACACAACGGGACACGCACATAACTAGCCAGAAGTGACGACTGAACACGCGTCTTTCCTGGGTTTTGTCACTGGACTCCCAAGTCGTTACGGCACAAATCTCATCCTGGACCAGCCATGAGCAGGTCTAAATATAAGCCTCTCCAGAGTTTCATACATAAACAAAACACCACTGCACTGTGCAAAATTACCTAACACATCCACCCTTCCATGTTCCTGCACTGACACAGATGCAAAAAGCAGTACTAACACAGACAGTCTTATATTTATTTATATTATATATTTGGAAGACGCCGGAATAGTCAGAGTTATTGACATTCCAAGTTATTATAGAGAACATATTGTAAAAAGCTGCATGTATGTGGTAGTATGTGCTCAGTAAAAAGTGGGCAGAAAAGCTCACAAGGATAATATGTTTGAAATCAAAAATGTAAAAGTACAAGACTATAAGCTGTACTACTTTGTATAATATCAGTGGGGGAAAAGCATACAACTTTGAAAGCTACTGTACTGAATGCTGCAATTTAACAAGTTTTTATTCTCCATCCAATACTGAATACTGCCAGCAAACAAACAGCAGCCTCTTTATTTCCTCCAAATACTGAAGGTGCTGATTCAAAACTAGAAAGCTAAAGAGCTTAAATGATTGTGAACAAAACACAGTAGAATAAAAGGAAGGATAAGCTTTTGATCAGCTCTATTTTAACCGATACTGGCCCCTTAAAACATGTCCGGATCAGCCACAATAAGGATCCCTAGGAACCAAACATTCACTTTTAACCACTTCCTTCCAAACATGACATGTCAGAAGATCATAATGTGCCATCACTCTGCCGTCATTAAACAGCCATATGAACTCAAAAAAGTTTAAGATGTTGAAATGTATCTGCACAAATTACATATGTTCAACAGACTGTCAAATTTTATACAGTCACTGACTGGCTTCTTCAAGAGAGTGTGAGTGTGTGTGTGTCAAAGAGTGTGAGTGTATGCTTACCTGTGTGTGTGTGTGTGTGTGTGTGTGTGTGTGTGTGTGTGCATGCATGCGTGTCAGCCACTTACGATCTAGTCCATTGACGTAGCGAATAGACACTTCGCAGTGCCCCCACACAGCACTGACGATGGGATACAGTCTCTTGCCTTTTAGCCCTCTAAAAGCTACTCCCAGATACTGTCCGTCTACCATGAAGCTCAGCGTTCCCTCGTCCATGTCGAGTATTACCGTCAGAGAGTCTGGGAGCACAAATGACTCGTCTGGCTCCAGGAAACAGGGGTACGTGGGTGCAGACGTGGAAACCGGACGGTTCTTTCCATCATGGTAGAGTCTGTTCCGACCCAGGTCCCAGCCCCAGGACTCGGGGTCCGAGCCCACCAGGGCTGTGTAGCCCACTGAGTGTAAAGACGCTTCAGCTGTGGCCACACCTACGACGGCGTGGGTGCCTCTCTGTCTGGCTGGCCAGTGAATCCTCCAAACATGGAGGCCCCTGGTGTAGCCCACCTTCCCACGGATACAGTCTGTGCTCTGTGCCACTGGATGTCGATGGAACGTCAGCTTGTCATCCTCCTTGACAAAGACATTGAGTGACCGGTCGTCAGGATTCCAGGCATGGCGAAGCTGAGTCTCAGGGCTGGCCGACGGCATGTCCAGCAGTAAGTCCAACCTGGGGGGCCGACAGAAATCCGGGCCCCGCAGTTCGCGGCGTACAGGCCGATATGAGGGCTCCCCGCGTACGTCCACTGATTTGATACTGCCAGAGATCTTCTGGCCCATGGCTGGGTGGGTCCAAGGAAGGAAAGGACAGAGGGGAGGGAAATGGATGGACGGAGGGTGGCAATGAGGGGGCCGTAGCTCCTGACGTTACCTCATGGGCGCAATGGCAACACAGTGGGTTGTAGGTGGAAGGGTGCTGTTGGACACACACAAAGTCTTCAGCCAGGGAGAACCACGCTCCTGGAAGACAGAAAATGAAAACATTATGAACTCAGATACACTCTACAAATAAGACATCTGAAGACGTCACCTTGAACTCTGGAACAATACTGTTTTCTGATTATGAAATAAATGATTAATCAACTGAGAAAACACTTTCCATTAATCATTAATTAATAATGAAAATAATTTAGCTGCAGCCCTGCTGGGTTTATAAAACTTGATAAACAAAAGACTTGTTTCTTATGCATGTACATCAAACATAGGCTGGCAGAAATAGAGGCAGAAATATGGCATCAACAGTGCTGGCTCCCAGCCAAAGCTGCAGAGATAATGGGAAATGACAGGAAAGGAGAAATGAAGGATGAACTTCTTTTCACTTCAAGCATTACCAGAGAAAACTATTTCCTGTCTTTAGTTGCCTGGAGTGTGGACACACACATTTGAGTTTCTCTGTGGGCAAATTTATCCCTTTTCTTTGTCACTCGATACTGTGATAGTTGCACTAAACAAAGACGTTGCAGCCGTCTAGACATGTGAGCTGGTTCTCTACTGCACATTGACACTGAACACTGACAGCCAAAAAGCTGAAGAGGAGACCTACCAACACAAAACAGTTATTACTTAAACGTGGTCTTTCAGACCCCAGCATCCCTGTGTTCTGTTGCAGACAGATACCAACTATGCTCTCTCTAAGAAACACACATTCAATCATTTAAACACTAAGGCAATGCCTATTGAGCAAAAGCATTTAGGGCTGAGTGCCTTTTAGGCGAAACAAATTGTATGAGCAACCCTCAGATAATGAAAAACTAACACAGAAACAGGGAGGATTTGCTGAAACTTGCTGCTACTTCCACTGAAAATAGTTAGTATGCACACACCCTTCTTATCCAATCTCTTCTTCACAAAGCTCACATGATGCAATTCGGATTTTACTTTAAGTCTTTAACATATACGTGCTGAGCAAGCAGAAAGAAAGCCCTAAGCTAATTCCAAACACACATGCAGAGTCTCCCTGTGTGTCCAGTCCAGATAAGCTGTACTGACCATTACCCCTGGTGGTCTCTCCAGCCCTCTTTCCTATATTCATTCCCTCAAATGTTTTTCTTACTCCCCTATAGTTTCTCAGGAAAGGACTCCACAGGATTCTTCCAGGGAAAATACAGAACAGTAACTGGTACTGACCCACCAGGGGAGGCTTGAATCAGATCAACATACACAGTGTAGGATAGATTCAAACAGATGTTGAAATTAAAGGATCCAAACAAGATCAGTGTACATTCTACACTTTGAAATCCAACTTGTTAAAAAAAAAAAAAAAACTTAGAGCAAGCTTTTTCACACATGAATCATTTTGAGTTTACAGTGTCAGTTTGAATGTCAGAGTAAATACCTTGTGAATTGTGGAGGCGACAGGAAACGTAAAAAAAAAAAAAAACATTAACCGGCTGACAACCATGCTAAATGGGCAACAGCTTTACACACACACAACCAACACACACACACACAACACACAACACACACCACACACACACACACACGGAATACTATCTCATGACTACAACCCATGAAAAGCAACAAGCTCTGCATTTCCATATTAATTAATTAATACCACCAGATATGACACATGAAGTCATTTTGTGACAAATGAGGAATATTTGTTCCACAGCATCATGTAGTCACAGACTCAGAGTAATCACAGTGGCTATCGACCACTCAGTTCCCATTTGTGAATGACTAACATACAAGTACAAGCCCTTACTGCTGCCAATTCTTCAAGCATTAACCGTCAGTGGGGAAACACTGGGCCAAACTATTAGGAGACAAGCCCGAGAGAAATGATTCATGGGAATGTTTTAAGGTAAAAGAGCAAAATTGTTGTGTTGTATGTCTTAGATAGCCTTTCTGGTTCACAGTGAGCAGTTCATCTCAAATATGTACAGTGACATACACGTCACAGCAGTTCAACCACAGCAGCCAAACCTGGATTGCGCACACGCACACAAACACACACCTCTAAATTTGTGGTCTGTCTGTCGTTAGGTATCCAAAGCACTTCAAGCCAAGAGTCCAGTGAGTCAAGGTCTATTATTACATTATTACGCCTGAGTGTTTAAGTATGTGTATTTGGCTTGTTATAGTGGTGATGGTGGGTAGCACTGGTAATATACAGTAGTTACACAGAGGAAATCAGATGTCCTCACCTGTCTGCCCGTGTATTCTGCAGGGTTCAAATATCACAGCAGTACTTGAATAGAAATAATTGGGTTCAACCAAGGAAAAAAACGTGATTGTCACCTTGTCTGCCCTGCAGCCTATAAGACAGTACCCGGTTCATGATAAAATCTATAGATTAAAGACGAAAAAAGAGAAATGGTCCTGGCACACTCTAAAAACTGGGAATATTTGATGCCATCCACAGAGCTGCTGACATCAGAAAGGAACTTCCAGCAGGTGAATATCAAATTTCAAATCAACTTCACCCTGGTGCTTGACCAGCAGTACTGCCTGCACCCTCCTGTGCAAAGAGCTGTTACACACACACACACACACACACACACACACACACCTCTGATGGTAACTGACTGAGCCACTCATCTAGAACACAGAGACCAGAAAACAAAAACAGAAACCTGGCAGGCTGAAAAAGGGAGGCATTTTCCACCTTTTAATCGTGACATGCTGGTTAATAATTGCCAGATTAACTATCGTTAGGTAAGCCAAGATCATTCCAGCACTTTGATCCGCATCCTGCTCACCTATTGTGTATGTAGCATCTTTACATATTCAGTGTATGGCCTGTATCATGTTAAACCTATCAATTAACAAAGTGTTCATTTCATGTTGAAGTAGAGGGCCACTGCTCATGGAGAAGAAGAAATGTCTTGCACTAAATGGCTGTGGAAACCCCTACAGTTTTTTGGGATTATTTCTTTAAAAACTCATTTGGCAAGAATTACTGCTGTCAAGACACCAGTTATGGTCTCACTAAAACATTACCCACAAAATAAAACAGCAGTCTCGAGTGGGAGAGTTAAAACAACCGACTGCGTGTTGATGAGCACTGAGAAGAAGGGGAGGGACATTTTGGGGATAAGGAGTTAGTCATTAATGTGGTTAAAGAATATAGCACTGGATTCACATGAACAATTAGCAGAGTTTTAATACACAGTTACACAACAATATGAACATCTAGAAATCTGTCAACCAACTCTTGCTATGTCTCTATAAATCACATACAATACAACAACAATACACACCGATCAACAAAAGTGCTCCAAGGAAGGAAAAGCGGTTTGTTTGTTGCGTATGGGGCTGCAGAACATGATGACCACCAGGGGTGCCCAGGTGGTCATCATGTTATGATCTGTGTATATGTACTATGTAATTAAAAGGGAAACATTAGTGAAAGGACAGAATACAAATTGTGCAGGAGGTCCGTTGATAAGGAAGGAGACGATGAGGAAGGAGAAGTAAAGGAGGAACATGGACAAGGGGAGAGATGAGAGAACTGATGACAGACGAGAAACACTGATAAGGCAGGTGAGTGATGAGTGATAGTGGGAACCGCCACAGGAATTACTGCCTCAAGGTTACAGGCCTTCAACCACTCTCTCTGTTTCCAACCATGTCTGTCCAGAGTCATGTAGTTAGGGCTGTCGTGGTGAGGGAATTTTCCCTGTGGTGATTTATAGTGGCTCAACAGCACAGTATGACCACCATTTCTGTTGTTTTTGCTAATTACTAATTTACTTAATCTTGCAAGATAGTTAACACATTCGGCTGAAAGTTACCAGTTAACAGGGTCACTCGTTAACCCAAAACACTGGCGACTAGTGGGACACAAACGCCACAGTTGTGGTGAATTGCTGTAATTAGTGGACCAGTCTGTGTCCTCTACCTAAAGTACTGCTAGTGTTTCCATTCTTGAGCTATTTTCCAGAGCGAGTGAGGCGGAGGCTGTGTGCCTTTTTCTTGTGTGGCATTGTAATCCTGGGATATTGAGTAGCACAGCGCTTGTGTCGAGTCCATTCAGCTTAGATGCTCTTTGACACTTTGCTAAAAAACAAATGCAGAACATGACATAATATGACGTCAGTTGTGGCAAGTGGCTTCTCAATAGCACTGTATTGTATAAGTGCATTTATTGCAGTAGCCCTATATGCAGTGAAGACTTTGAATCAATTTCATAAAAAGATATTAAGTGTGTATTTTGGCAAAAGAAAAGTTAGAATAGTAAATAATTTCCAGAAAGATTCACTGAGACACATGGTGCAACAACATCTGAACCCGAATATCGGCAAAAATCTCTGAGCTTGTGGTGTTTAAGTTCATTGAGAGAAATAATTAACAAAGTTGATTTCCTTGTGTGTGTCTGCATGCTTTGCCAATAAAGCTGATTTTGCTTCAAATATGAATGCTGCTGCAAAGAAGCTTCAAATTCTAAAACGTGAATGCTTCATAGACATCTTCAACCCAGCAGCACAGAACATCGATACAATCACCAGTTTCAAGGTGGGCATCCAAGATTAGGGTCACCAATTCAGTATCTGACCAAATGTGAAATACGGTCACAATCTCTTCTGTTCCTGAGTTATGGCACCGAATAATGGCCACAAAACTGTTTTTGCACAACATTAGGTAGAACAAACATAGTGGAGTTGACCTTTGCCCACCAAATTCTAA